GGAGGAGGAGGAGGAGGAGGAGGAGGAGGACGACGACGAGGAGGAGGAGGGAGCGGTGGCTACGAGCACCCTCTCGCCCTCGCCCCCGCCGCCGCTGCCTCGGCGGCAGGGGCAGCGCCTCGGCGGCGCCGGCGCGGAGCAAACTGAGCCCCACATCGAGCCTTAGGTCAGGCACGTCCTCCTACATAGGGAGCTTGGAAGAAAAAATACTCCAAACTATCCAAAAATCATCCCAGTGCGACCCTACCTAGGAGTTGGAGCCTCTAGGAAAGCAACATTAGTAGGAGCGGTACATATATATATATATATAGCAGCAGCAGCAATAGTGGATGCTGTGCTGCGATATGATATGCTATGCTATGCTATGTGATGATACGCTATGCTATGATATGATATGATATGATATGCTATGATGTGCTATGCTATGCTATGCTGCGCAATGCTGTGCTGTGCTAGGCTAGACTAGGCTATGCTATGCTATGCTATGCTGCGCTATACTATGCTGCGCTATGATATGCTATGCTATGCTATGCTATGCTATGCTATGCTATGCTATGTTATCATATGCTATGCTATGCTATGCTATGCTATGCTGTTGCTTTGCCTTCGCTTTTGCCTTCACTTTTGCCTTTGCTTTTGCTTTTGCTTGGCACCCAGGGAACGCAACTGGGGGAACCGCGCGTTTGCTTTTACCTTTGCTGTTGCTTTTGCTTGGCTCCCAGGGGACTGGGGGAACCGCCCAGGGCGGGGTGCACTGCCCAGCCCCTTTAAGCTACAGAGTAAGAACCCTTCTAGGCGGAGCCCAGGTCGGGAGTAATTTGAAAACAAATATCGAAAAATCGTCCCTGGACTATTTGCTGTATTTTTGAATTTTCCTCCTGTAGAGGAACGTGCCCGACTTTAACCGAGCCGCATCGGCGACGCCTCGGCGATGCGGCGCGACCCTCCGACCCCTCCTGCTCGGACCCCATTTGCGAGGCCCAGATGCCCACAGCTGAGGGGCAGCGATAGGGGAGGGCAACATCGCCCTGGAATCGGCGATGCATCATCGGCGATGCATTGCCGATAGATGGGCGATAGGCCCCCGGCGGCGCGTCCGCACCTTCCTGGGCGGGGTGGGGCTATTATCGGCGATCGATGGTCGATTGGGGGTCGATGCATCCCCTATGGTTGCCCCCGATCCCCGCGCCTCGGGGCCGCCCAGAAAACGCAGCCTGGGAGGAAGAACGCTCCCGGGGAGTGGGCCGAGACCTCTGGGGGGGGGCGGTCGACGCCATGAAAAAAACCATGGCTCCAGGGCTTCTGGGAGCCCAGGGATTGGCTGCTCATTCTGGGGGCCTTCCCGGAGCCACTCGCTCCACTCGTGCGCCGAAGCTGCGTCGAGCGTCCGTCGATTCGAGTCGACCTGGAGTCGTTTCCGAGTCGAACCAGAGTCGAAGGTGAGTCACACTGGAGTCGAACTGGGGTCGAGCCGAACTCGAACAGATCTGCGAGGTGGGCCCCATGAAGGTCCCCCAAGCGAGCAACTACAGTGGAGGCCAGTCCACACGAAACCTTCCACAAGAAACCCAAACCTGAGACCCCAAGACGTCCACTGATTTTTAGTGCGGGAATGTGGCGCCTTCTGCAGCAAAACCATCGAAACCCAAGAAACCCAGGGCACCCTGGAGGCAAGCAGGGTGTTTCTTGGCGTGGGCTTCCACTGTAACTGGGGGGGAGAGGGGGGGGGGGGGGGCATTGCTCATGTTCGCCGCGGGGGTGGGGGGCTCGTCGAAGACGTGGGCAATCGGAGCCCCTGGATGCGTGCGGTGCCGCCCCTCCCCCTCGGCTGTCCGCCCCCAACCAGCCAGTCGGTCGGCACACTGCGGCACGAAATCCCGCGATAAGCAGCCAAGTTGAGCACGTTTGCCAGCGATCGCGGGGCATCCCCAGACACCCTGGCGTCCTGAAAAAATCGAGACGGCAGCTTTTCATCGTTTTCGGCATCTCGGGACCCTGGCCGGGTCTCGGGACCGTCAGAAAACGGCTCGCGATGAAGAACTGGTCCCGGGGAAGTGGTGGAGACCTCTAGGGGTCGACGGCATGAAAACATCAGGACGCCGGAGGCGTCTCGAAAAAAATCGAGACGCCAGATGTCTGGGTCCCAAGGTGCTCCAGGCCCGAGGCCTTCTGCGGCAACCAGGCAACCAGGCAACCAAGGCGCCGAGAAATGTCCGCGAGGCATCCGCTGGCAGGCACGTGTCTCACTGGGTGTCCTCCTCCTCCTCCTCCTCCTCCTCCTCCTCCTCCCTCCTCCTCCTCCTCCTCCTCCTCCTCCTCCGCCGCCGCCGCCGCCGCCTCCTCCACCTCATCCTCCTCCTCCGCCTCCTCCACCTCCTCCTCCTCCTCCGCCTCCTCCTCCACCTCATCCTCCTCCTCCGCCTCCTCCTCCTTCTCCTCCTCCTCCTTCTCCTCCTCCTCGTGCCTGATGTGCTGCTGCCGCCGATCCTTCGGGGCACCGAGACCGTGTGGTGACGGACCGCGCGGTGACCTCGGAACCCCCAACGACCTCACCACGCGGTCCGTCACCGCACGGCTTCGGGACCGCGGAGTCCCCTGTCGCCCTGGACGTCCTCGGACCCAGACCCCCGACGTCGTGATTTTTGTCACAACGTCGACCCCCAGAGGTCTGGACCCTTTCCCAGGAACCGGTTTTTCATCCTGAGTCGTTTTTTGACGGTCCCGAGGCCCTGGAAGGGACCCTGGAGGACGTAAATAGCGAATAACCTCCCGTCGCGATTTTTTCTCAGCGCGTGAGCGAGCAACGACATATGTACATGTACTCCCTCCGCGATCTTGAATGCACGAACGTCCTCGTTCAAACGCCCCCCAAGGGAAGCTAACCGCGTACGTGTACATATGTTGCTGGCCTCTGAGCGCGAGGAGGTCTGGGGAGCACGACCCAAGCCCCGAAACCGCAGGGGCGACCCCGCGGATCCGCACCCGGACGCCGCCAGGGGCAGCCCCTGCACGCCCCGTGCCTGCGCCGCTCTCTCTCTCTCTTTCTGTTTCCCCTCCGACCTCCTCCTCCTCCACCTCCTCCACCTCCTCCTCCTCCTCCTGCTCCTCCTCTTCCTCCTCCTCCTCCTCCTCCTCCTCCTCCTCCTCCTCCTCCTCCTCCTCCTCCTCCTCCTCCTCCTCCTCCTCCTCCTCCTCTTTTTGTTTCCCATCCGCCGCCACCAAAACGCGAGCGCCACCGCGGGGCCTCCGCGACACGTGCGAAGCGGGGACTCCCCGCGGGCTTCCGGCACATGGGTGCTCAGGCCGGTCGGCCCTCGGCCCCCGGCAGCGCGTCCAGCGCCGCGGCCCGGAAGAGCTCCCGCGGCGCCCCGGCCAGCGACTGCTCGCCCAGCACCTCGAACACGCTGGCGCGGCGTGCCAGCAGCTCGCCGCCGCGGCGCACCAGCTCGCCCGCGCCTGGGCCGAGGGCGTGCACGCCGGCGAGGCTGCCGTCGCCCACGTGGAAGACCAGCTTGAGCAGCACGTCCTGGAGCGCGCCCTCCTCGCCCGGCGAGCCCTCGCCCTCGGGGCCGCCGCGCGGGCGCGAGCGCGCGGTGCCCTCGACCACCCGCAGGCCCCTCGCCTCGGCGTCCCTCCTGGTGCGGCCGCAGAAGGCACACCCCGGCACGGTGGACAGCACGACCGGCTCGCAGCAGGGCCTGGGCTCCTCCTCCTCCTCCTCCTCCTCCTCCTCCTCCTCCTCCTCCTCCTCCTCCTCCTCATCCTCCTTCGCCGCCTCCGCCTCGCCTCCTCCTCGCCTCCTCCTCCTCCGCCTCCGCCTCCGCCTCCGCCTCCGCTCCGCTCCGCCTCCGCCTCGCCTCCGCCTCCGCCTCTCCTCCTCCTCCTCCTCCTCCTCCTCCTCCTCCTCCTCCTGTTCCTCCTCCTCCTCCTCCTCCTCCTCCTCCTCCTCCTCCTCCTCCTCCTCGTGGTCTCGCCGCCGCGGCGCGCGGAGGGCCAGGAAGCGGCCCCTGGCCGACCACCTGCGCAACACGCGGCGTACACGTCGTTCATATCTAATCGTGCTCGTCTCAAATTGTGCTCGTTTCTGATTGCTCCTGGCCCCCTAGTGGCCAGGAAGAGGCCCAGGAAAGGACAATTAGAAATGAAAGGACCTTGGCCCCCCCCCCAAAAAAACAATGACCTTTCGAATAATTAGAAATGAACCATGTGTGTTGATGCGGAACTCAACACCTCTACTGCAGACGCAGGTCTGACGCGACGCGTTCGTCAAAACGTGGGCCGACACGTGCCGAGCCAACACGCAGCGTGTGCTGACGCGCACGCGTTGCACACGGTGCGTGCTGCGTTCCAAAAGGGGCGCATCGAGGCGGCTGGGAGCAGGGCTCGTCCGCCACCGTGGCCCTGCCCTCGCCGAACATCGCGTCCACCACCGCGCGCACGCGGGCAGCGCCGCTCCTCTCGGACGGCCAGCTCCCCGCGGCACCGCCCGCGGCGAAGATGCCTCGCAGCGACGTCTGGGAGCGCTCGTCCAGCCGCAGCCACGGGCCGCCGGCGGCCAGCTGCAGCGGCAGCCTGGACAGGCCTAGCCCCTCCAGCCGCGGCTGCCTGCCCGCGGCGACCAGCAGGCAGTCGATCTCGACAGCTCCCTGGGAGGAGGAGGAGGAGGAGGAGGAGGAGGAGGAGGAGGAGGAGGAGGAGGAGGAGAGAGGACGAGCACGAGGAGGAGGGAGGAGGAGGAGGAGGAGGAACACGAGAAGGAGGAGGAGGAGGAGGAGGAGGAGGAGGAGGAGGAGGAGAGGAGGAGGAGGAGGAGGAGGAGGAGGAGGAGGAGGAGCCAGCCTCGCCCAGGTCCAGGAGCAAGGGTGCGCCAGGGCCCTGCTGCGCCACGGCGCTGCACGCTGGGGCCCCCGAGCGCACGCCCCTCGCGCGCAGGGCGCGCAGCAGAGCGTCGTGCAGGTCGGCGTCCAGCTCGCTGGGCTCGGGTACCTCTGCCTGGTCCTCCAGGAGGAAGACCTCCGCCTCGAGCTCCCTGAAGAGCGCAGCGTACTCCAAGGCCAGGGCACCAGAGCCGACGATCGCCACGCTCCTCGGCAGGAAGGGCAGCGAGGACACCGTGTCGGCATCGAAGACCTTGCTGCACTCCTTCGGCACCCATGACGGGGGCACCGTGCCAGAGCCGGTGGCCAGCAGAACGCGGTCGGTGGAGACGGCTTCGTGCCCAGCGCCAGTTTCCTTGACGAGCAGTGCCCGGGCGCTGACGACGGTGGTCTTGCCCTCGAGGTAGCGAACGCCGGCGTCGCGAAGGGAGTCGACCTTCTTCTTGGCCGCCTCCTCGGCGAACTGCGCGCAGAGGGCACGGAGGCGGCCCCACACGGCCGTGTCGTCCAGGCCCTGAGCGCGCAGGTCGCGCACACGGACGGAGGAGCAAGCGTACTGCAGGCACGCGGAGAAATCAGCACCGTAGCCGCAGCGGGGAGCGCCCAGACTCTTGTCGTCGCTCGCGCGCCCCTGCCTCGGCGGGTCGACGAGGTACACCTTGCGGCCCAGCCTCGCGGCGTGCAGCGCCGCCTCGACCGCGGTGGCGCCGCCGCCGACCACCACCAGGTCCCAATGCTCGCCCTCCTTCTGGAGCGCTCCAAAGTGGCGCCGGCCGAGCTTGCCGGGCAGGAAGCCGCTGCCGACGTCGGAGGAAGCCAGCGAGGCCAGAGGGGCCGTCGCGGATGTGAAGCTGGTGCCGGCGTGGTACTGGAGGCCCGCCTCCCCGGGCAGCGGCGACGGGGGCTGAGATAGCGCGCCGCTCGCCCCTGGTGACAAGCCCGCCAGCTCGGCGATCGCGGCCCTCGAGGCCGCCACCTCGAGCGACCGCACGTGGGAGTCCAGGAGGGCGTGGTACTGCCGCCCGGCGTTTTTCTGATCATCGGAGACCATCGCCCTCCTGGACAGAGCCTCGCACTCGGCCAGGACTTCCTGGCCCAGGCATCCGTCAGCCCCTGACTGCGCCGCGCGCTCCGCGGCATCCTCGTCAGCGGTGGCGCCCGGCGGCCCCTCCGCGGGGGGCGGGCCCGACGTGAACGACAAGGTCCCCGCGACCGCCTCGAGCTTCTGCACGAGGGAGTCCAGGCGGGCCTGGTGCTGCCGCCCAGCAGCGTTCTGCTCGCCGAAGCTGCTCTGGATGCTCACGGCTGCCCTGGACAGGACCCCGCACTCGTTCAAGACCTCCCGGCCCAGGCACTCGACCGCTGGCGGCGGCTCCGCGCGCCCCACGTCCTCGATACGTGGCCACGGGCGCCGCAAGGCCACGGGCTGCTCCACGACGCGTGGGCCCTTTTGACTCGCTGGCACGGTGCCCTCGCCTGCCAGCCCGGGCTGGAACCTCTCACGGTGTGACTGAGCGGTCCCCACGTCATGCAGGCCGTTGCGGCCAGCCTGCTCCGAACGTGCACCGTCCAAGGCCACCCTGCGTGTCTCCAGGTACAGGCTGTGGGGCTCGCAGGCGCTGCCAGGGTCTTGGCCCTGGCGCGCGGGTGCTGCCGGCAGCGGTCTGGCTTGCAGCTGCCGACCCTGCGCGGACAGAGGCTCGACCTCGGTCTCCGCGCGGCCTCTCGCGCCAGCGCCGGCAGGTGCCCAGGCACCAGGCGGGACGCCCGCAGCGGCTCCCTCTGCCGAGAGCGCCGAGCGCTCGGCGCGGGCAGCGCTCTCCATCATGATGGCCTCCCTGCAGGCCTCTTCCGCCCGCCTGGCCTCCATGCTCATGCCGTCCTGCGGCCCCTCGCGGGGTGCCAGCGCCAACGGCTGCTGCAGGCCCTGCGCCACTCCGAGCCCGGCGCCTCGGCCCACCGAGTCGGAGGCCCCAGCCCGGGGCGACGGGTGCTGCCACAGCAGCGGCTGCTGCTGCAGAGCCGCGAGCTCGGACCCCCCCGGCGAGCCGTCCTGCTGGCCAGCCGCCCCAGTCGCCAGCGCCCGCTGCAGGCTCTGGAGCTGCTCCTTTTGCTGCCGCAGGAACCTGCCCGCTCGCCAGGCGAGGGACAGCTCGTCCTCCTCCACCCCGGCCGCGGCGGCACAGCCCACGGGCAGCGCCTGCGCCGCCGCCCGCGAAGGGCCGACCTCCATCGCGACTGTGGAGCTTGTCGCCTGCGGGGCCGGGGAGACCTCCATGGCGAGCGTCGCGATCGTGGAGCCCCCGGCGGGGAGCGACTGCGGCGCGGGCGGCTGGGCGAAGCTGAAGCTCGTCGCGGCCGCCGCCGGGAGACTCTGGGCGAGCAGGGCGCCCGGGCGCCAGGCGCTGGCAGCCAGCTGCGCCAGCGCCTCCGGGGTTGCCACCGTCTGGCCGAGCGCGTCTGGCGGCCCCGCGGCCGCAGGCAGCACGGGCGGCCGCGCCCACGGCACCCCAGCGTGCCCAGAGGGCACCGGGTGGCTCCTGCACGGAGGCGCAAGGATGCACCACCACCGCCGGGCCAGCTCGGGCCCCTTGGCCCCAGAGGTGTGGGGAATGCGCCCTCCTGGCGTGGCCTGGGACGTGCATGCTGCTTCTAGGCGGGCGCGCGCGCGGAGACGCTCCAGCAGGGCGCTCGAAATAGGGCGCGTGCACAAACACACACACACACACACACACATGGAGGGACAGAAAACGAAGAACATGACCAAAACTGACCGCGGAAGCGTCGGTGTTGATCTTGGTCATCTCCATCTTGGCCACTGCTCTTTGGGGGATCATCCTCGTGAATCGGCGACGGCCGTCATGCACTGTGACCAAAGCTGGCGTCGACCAGATCGCGCAACATCTTGGCCATGACGATCGTATTGTTTCCCTTGAACACGCACACACAGCCATCGGGCTACCATATTTAGAGATCAGGTTGTCCTCCTTTCTTGTTGTATATCTATGTATGTACCTATATACATATAATATATACATATGTATATAAATATGTGATAAGAAGCGAAGGGGCTGTTTCTGGCCACGGCGGGCCTGAGCCACAAGCGCCCTAAGCGGTCCTCATTTCAGCGTCTTGACTGCACACACCCACACACACACACACACGCACGCACGCACGCACGCACGCACGCACGCACGCACGCACCGCACACACATACACACACACACACACACACACACACGCGCGCGCGCCAACCCTGGGCCAGAGGGCGTAACTGGCCTGGTGGTGTATTTGCCTCCTGTGGTGCGTCCTGTAGACGAGCATGGGAGTCCCGCCTCCCAGCGAGGCAGCCTCGGACGGGGGCCTGGGCGTGGTCGTGCCGATTGATGCTGCGGCGTGGCTCGTCATCGCCTCACTCGTCGTGGCGGGGAGCGCCAGTGGCCCATGGACAGGCGTGCTTCTGGTGTGGAGGCCTCCCAGATGGGGTCCGAGCAGAGGGGGTCGGACAACCGCCGCATCGTCAAGGCACTGCCGATGCATCGGCGATGCATCGGCGACGTCGGCGATGCATCGGCGCCGCCAGTGTGAAGAAGACCGGGCCCCACATCAAGCCACAGCGCCGATGCATCGGCGATGCGGTACGGCCCTCCGACCCCATCTGCCAGGACCCGACGTGGGAGGCCTGGACGGTGGTCCCTCAGCCCACGGGGATGGGTGCGTTCTCTGGCCTAGCCGCCCCCGCTGGGTGATGAAAAATCAGGTTCGGCTCGAGCCAAGCGCTGCTGCGGCCAGAGGCGGGCGGGGACGATGGCGAAGGCCTCCGACGTCGTGGCTGTCTCGACCGAAGACGACCCAGGACGAGAAAACAAGCCCCAAGAAAGAGGTCGGGATTTCTGGAGCCCGCGGCCGGACAAGTCATGATGTCGGAGGCCTGGGGGCGAGGAGAATGGCAGAGGTTGGTTTGCTCGTCCCCTTGCCGCCCGCATAGAAGCTGCCTGAACAGTGGCCGTGACATGTAAAAAAACATGTGATGCGAGGATCGGGATGCCCATGCGAGAGCCGACGAATATAGCAAGACGGAATCAGCAGCCGCTACGAATGACAATGGATTGAAATTTCCAAAAATGCAACCCTTGGAAGACGGAAACTACCACATGCGAAAATACATGGTCAACGTCTTCGAATGGCCCACACTTCAACAATCCTTCGTGAGTCGAACTCGAGACCTAGAGGGATGAACATACGACATGACGGCAACTCTTGAGATCGTACTGGAAACAAATTGTTCGACAATGAATGTCTAATGACGCAATTCTTACGGAAAAGACGGCCCTGCAGCGCCACCAGCTGCCGCTGGGACATGTGTACGACAAGCTGCAGAGAGAGCGAGAGAGAAAGAGGGAAAGAGAGAGAGAGACAGAGAACACCAACAAACCGATAGACCGACTTGTATCTACATATAATGTATAATACATACACGTATGTATAAAGAGAGAGAGAGAGAGAGGAGGAGGGGAAAAAAAATAGAGAAAGAGAGAAGTAAGCAACGAAATAATTGTGCACCTATACCTAGCGAAACATGCGTGTACATGATGCCTACATGCGTGCATATATACAAAGAGGGAGAGAAAAAGAGAGAGAGAGAGAAGACAACAAACCCGTACACGAAAGAGAAAGGGAAAAGGCCCCGATTCCACAAAATGGAAAAACACCAAACAAAGGAACAAACTTGTCATTAAAAAAAGGAAGCACCAGAGGTGGTCATCGCCTCGGGGGGGGCGCCCCCCCGAGGCGGTGACCCTCCTTACTCGAGGCGCCCCCGACGAGTGAGGAGGCGCTGACCCTCCCCACCCGTGGCGACCCCCCCTCCCCCGAGCACTGCCCTGCAGGAGCAGGGCGAGGCCCCCGAGGAAGCGGGTGGGGACCAGGTCGGACGACAGGAGAGTGGGCCGGCGGCGCGCACCGGGGTGCAGCGGGGAGGGGGGCAGGCTTCTTGGCGGGAGGCCGCCTCTGAGAAGGAGCCGGCCCCACGTCTACAGACAAGGCCTGCAGCTTCGAAGAAGCGAGGGTGCTTCTGAGAAGCCTTCCCCCCTCCCCTTCCCCCGAGATAAGGTGTTACTGCGGCCCGTTGGTTGTTACTGCGGCCCGGTGGGTGTTAGTATGCGGCCCGGTGGGTGTTAGTATGGCCAGAGGTCCTCCGGAGTGTATTAATTATCGAGTACGGTGAAGGGGGGGGGGTCCAAAAAGGCTCCGCCCCCCCCCCTTCACCGAAGAGCCTCTCGGAAGAGCCTCTGGTGCTCTCCGAAGAGCCTCTTGGAGCCGCCGAAGACCTTCTTCCAGCCGCCTAAGAGCCGCTTGGGCTCTCCGAAGAGCCTCGTGGGGCCTCCGAAGAGCTTCTTGGGGCACCCGAAGCGCTTCTTGGGCTCTCCGAAGAGCCTCTTGGGCTTTACTACGACTACGATACTACGACTACTACGACTACTACGACTACTACTACTACTACTACTACTACTACTACTACTACTACTACTACTACTACTACTACTACTACTACTACTACTACTACTACTACTACTACTACTACTACTACTACTACTACTACTACTACTACTACTGTTACTACTACTATACTACTACTACTACTACTACTACTACTACTACTACTACTACTACTACTACTACTACTACTACTACTACTACTACTACTACTACTACTACTACTATACTACTACTACTACTACTACTACTACTACTACTACTACTACTACTACTACTACTACTACTACTACTACTACTACGACTACGACTACGACTACTACTACTACTACTACTACTACTACTACTACTACTACTACTACTACTACTACTACTACTTACTACTACTACTACTACTACTACTACTACTACTACGACTACTACTACACGACTACGACTTACTACTACTTACTACTACTACTTATTACTACTACTACTACTACTACCACCACTACTACTACTACTACTACTACTACTACTACTACTACTACTACGAACTACTACTACTACTACTACTACTACTACTACTACTACTACTACTACTACTACTACTACTACTACTACTACTACTACGACTACTACTACTACTACTACTACTACTACTACTACTACTACTACTACTACTACTACTACTACTACTACTACTACTACTACTACTACTACTACTACTACTACTACTACTACTACTACTTCTTCTTCTTCTCGTCGTCCCTAACACCCTAGGGCTAGCACTCCCTAGCGCCAGTACTTCCTAGGGCTAGCACTCCCTAGCGCCAGTACTACCTGGCACTCCCTCGGACTAGCACTCCCTAGGACTAGTATTCCCTAGGGCTGGTACTCCGTAGTGCGAGTACTCCCTAGGACGAGTACTCCCTTGGACGAGTACGCCCTAGGGGTAGTAATTCCTAGGACTGGTACTCCGTGGGGCTAGCACTCCCTGCGGCTAGTACTCCGTAGGACTAGTACTCCTTATGAACGATATTACTTAACACCAACACTACAGCACCATTGTACTACCACACTACAGCACTACTACCACAATACCAGTACCACAACACCACAACACCGCTACCACAACACCACTACACCGCTACCACGATACCACAACCACAACACCACAACACCGCTACCACAACACCACTACCACAGCACCACTGCCACTACCACAACACTACTACCTACTAACAACTCAACAACACTACCAACACCACACCACTAACACAACACTACCAACACCACACCACTAACACAGCACACCACTACCAACACCACACTTCTAACACAGCATACAGCACAACCAGCCACTACCAACACCACACCACTAACACAACATTACCAACACCACACCACTAACACAGCACAGCGACCACCACACCACTAACACAGCACTACTACCACGTTGGTTCCAGGTGGGAGTTACTGTGGCCACTTTTGCCTGCGCGGGAGTGCATTCCCTTAGGGGTTGCGAATCTCTCCAGATCTAACATGAGATACCTTTACATATTACTTTTCATTGAGCGGCATGCGCGGGCCACAGTAACTCCCATCCCGCCGCGCGACGGGCCACACTAACACCCAACGGGCCACACTAACACCCAACGGGCCACAGTAACAACCGGTCGCCCCTTCCCCCCCCCCCCCCCTGCGCGCGGCCCCAAGCGGGGGGGGGGGGTAGCGAACCGGCTCGCGAAGCTAGTTCCTCCGGCGCCAGGATGCGCAGAAAACGCGCCTGTGAACGGAGGAGAGTTCCCAACGGCGGAGCACTGAAACCAGCTGCACGCAGTAGATTCCGTACCCCCCCCCCCTTTTCCCACCTCCTCCTACTGCTCCTCCTCCTCCTCCTCGCCCTCCTCCTCCTCCTCCTCCTCCTTCTTCTTCTCCTTCTCACCCCGGCCCGCGGAGAGCGGCCCGGGCGGTGGCGGGAGGCCCTGTCCCCCTCGTGCCGCTCGCCGCGATCAAGACCAGAAGCCGCCATTGGAAAAACACGTCGTCAGGAGGAGGAGGAGGAGGAGTAGGAGGAGGAGTAGGAGCAGGAGCAGGAGCAGGAGCAGGAGAAAAAGGAGAGGAAGGAGGAGGAGGTGGAGGAGGAACAAGAGGAGGACGACGACGATGAGCTGGAGGAAGAGGAGAAGGAGGAGGAGGAAGAGGAGGAGGAGGAGGAGGAAGAGGAGGAGGAGGAGGAGGAAGAGGAGGAGGAGGCGAAGGAGGAGGCGAAGGAGGAGGAGGAGGAGGAGGAGGAGGAGGAGGAGGAGGAGCAGCGTGCGCCCGAGAGGCTTCCTGCGAGGCACAGGACCTACATCGGCCTCTGTCGATGGCGGCGGCCAGCGTGTCGCCCTGTCGCCCGCCTTGCTCTCACAAAGGCGAGCCAAGCGCACGCCGACTTCCACAACCTGAGCATCTGTCCTCGTGTTCCGCTTGGGCCCACGACGACGCCCACGACTCCCAGGTCAAGGATGATGGGCCTGTTTTCAACCACCACCACCACAATAAGTTGGAGGGGAAAGGATGTGGAGGACAAGAACGAGGATGAGGACGAGGAGGAGGAAGAGGAAGAGGAGGAGGAGGAGGAGGAGGAGGAGGAGGAGGAGGAGGAAGAGGGGAGGAGGAGGAGGAGGAGGAGGAGGAGGAGGAGGAGGGGCCGGAGGAGGAGGAGGAGGAGGAGGAGGAGGCGAAGGAGGAGGAGGAGGAGGAAGAGCAGGAGGAGGAGGAGGAGGAGGAAAAGGAGGAGGAGGAGGAGGAGGAGGAGGACCCCCTCCCCCTCCAACTTACGGTGGTGGTGGTGGTGGAAAACAGGCCCATCAACATTTGTTCTCGTGTTCCGCTTGGCCCCACGACGACACCCACGACTCCCAGGTCAAGCAGCCCCGCCTGGCACAGGCGACTCCGTCGACAGCACGCCGACGCCCGCGTCACACATCGACTCCACAGAACACGTGAACGACCACAAGACTGCCACAGCGCGCAGCAACCACCGCGACACCCACCTGAAGTTCCAGCCATGGCGGCACCACGTAGGGCAACTGAGACCGGATCGGGATCGGCGAAACCACCGTGGAGATCAGCATCGAGCCGCCCACGATCCAGAGCCACAACACCGAGGCCCACTACACAAGCCATCGGCGCAGGACTCGAGCGTCGCAAGAACCACAACTGAATCGACCAAAGGGCCGACAACCACCCGGACAAGCCCTACAACGAGCACATCGCCATCACGATCAACAACGTCATGCCCATGAGGAAAATCTACTC